ACGCGCCGCCAGCCAGTCTTGTGTGCTCTTCGCTCTATGAGCTGGCGCCGAATCTTGTTGGAATACCCAGTGCCTGTTATTGAACATGGTATGAGAAACAGGTTCCACAAGGTTCGTCAGGACTGTATTTTGATACACAACTGCATTCGTTTTTACACCTTTCTCACAAAAATGTACCTCTGTTAAGCCCTAATAAGAAACTCCCAACCATACCATGAGCGAGGATGGAAAATGACCTCGTTGGACACGCGGAATACGGTTGCTCGCTTCTTCACTACTGTGTGCGTACACCTTATCATTTTGTTTGTTGTAGCTCTCTTCTACGCTAATAACGGGAAAAAATAATTTCCCGTTATTTTTTTCCCGCGTACCGCTTCAACAAAGCGCGGCATCTCTTCAGTCTCAGGTCCATTAGACGAGCATTCAAACGATGTTCTGTTTTTCTTCGATATGTCCGAAGCCCTAAGTCTTCATTTAACACCCTTTTCACCGTGGTTCTGCTTAACCCCATCTGAAGGGCCAACAGTTTCTGCTTACGTTTGGGATTTCTTTGAATTCGCGCCTTCACAGCTTTTATCCCTGCTGGAGTCCTAACAGACCGAGGGCGAGCACTTCTTGACCTGTCATCTACACTAGAGTCTTCATTGTATCGTTTGATGGCACGATAAACGAATCTTTTGGTTATATTCAAATTTTTCAGTATGTTAAAAATTTGAATTAGCGCGTAACCGCAACGATGCAACGCAATAACTGCAACACAGTCTTCTTTAAGCGTCCACTCCATATTTAAAAATGAGTAAAATTCTAAAAAGTATACATTTTTATTTTCATGAACAATTGGAAATTCGAATTCAATAAACTTTTTTGTGGCCAGCATTCTAAAAGAAAAGTTTTTACTGTGTGACAATACTTATGACCTGACTAGGTATACTAGGTATGAGCTTTAGGATATTTAATAAACTACCACAGAAATTAGGAGACCTAGGTTATTTTCATATTAAGAAAAAACTAAAAGATAATCTTATTAGTGAAAATTATTATCACATAAATGATTTTCTTACGGACGACATTGAAAATAAATGAATTTTTAATTATTAGTTTAATTATGGATGAATTAATGATAAATTATTTATTATCTTAATATCTTGCACTGCACTAGAATTCGCATGTCTAATCATGACAAAGCATACACGCTGGTTTTAACTGATGCAATAACTCATTTTCACTATGTTTAGCGAATAAATGATTTTTGTTCTTTCTTTTCTTTCTTTGCTACCGGTAAGCCTGCCCAAGTACTACCAACACCCTAGCTATTTTTGCTGTGAAGTAATAATGCGTTTTGGTTAGAAAGGTGGGGCAGCCGTGGTATTATAAAACGGAATCTTAGAATTCATTTTTAAAGGTGGGTGACGGCATTTACGTGGAAAAAACATTTACGTTGTCGATGTATTTGGGATCCGGTAACCATTTAACACCAAATGGGCCGTGAGCTCGTCCACACATCTTTATTTATTTATTTTTTATTGCCCTTGTAGGCAGACGAGCATTCNAATTGATGTAAAAACTCATTTTCACTATGTTTAGCGAATAAATGATTTTTGTTCTTTCTTTTCTTTCTTTGTTACCGGTAAGCCTGCCCAAGTACTACCACCACCCTAGCTATTTTTGCTGTGAAGTAATAATGCGTTTTGGTTAGAAAGGTGGGGCAGCCGTGGTATTATAAAACGGAATCTTAGAATTCATTTTTAAAGGTGGGTGACGGCATTTACGTGGAAAAAACATTTACGTTGTCGATGTATTTGGGATCCGGTAACCATTTAACACCAAATGGGCCGTGAGCTCGTCCACACATCTTTATTTATTTATTTTTTATTGCCCTTGTAGGCAGACGAGCATTCAGCCCACCTGATGGTAAGTGATTAGCGTCGCCCATGAACTTTAGCAATACCAGGGACAGAGCCAAGCCGCTGCCTACCGTGAAACAACAACACAACAATCTGAACAATAACAAAAGAATAATTATCATTGCTACAGACTGCTAATAAGCGGCACTCGTGCACGCGATTTACCCGTGGTTTGTTTGTGTGTACCCAAACATGATTTTCCAACAAACTATAACTTGTACATTGGGGTTAACGTGTGCAAGTATACAAGAAAATAAAACGAATGAATTAAATCAATTATAAACTCAGCAGACGCGGAAACTTACGACCAATTACCGAAAATATGATCCTCGTTTTCTGACTCCCCAATTAAAAGACATTACTAATCCTAGTGGCACTCGAGTTGTGATATCTACGGTCTTCGGTAACCGCTCAACACCAGGCGGTCTGATTCTGTTTAACCTATTAAAAGCTTCATCATAAAAACTTCTTATAAAGGTTCAGAATTTTCAGTATGATAAAATATCGGTTCTAAATTTCAAACAGCTAATTCGTTACAACATACTAAAAGATTATATTGAGTATCAACTCACATTTGTCCAGTGTTGGTTCCAAACTTACCTTGCAACAATTCAATGTTTTCGTCCACTTCAGGCAGGAGATGCATGAACGTTGTAGCGAAAAGTACTCCGCCACCAAACGCCAACAGTCCCATCACCAGCTGATTCGAAGACCGCAGGTTGGGATCGCGGGATTTCGTGAACCAGTTGAACTTCTTCGATATCAACAACGGCAAACATCCCACGAACATGGATATGCCGAATAAGGATACCATTGTTACTATTTTAGCGGTTAAAACGTTTTCGACGGCCATGGTTTTCTTTTGTCTTTCTTTTCTTTGACTATTTCGTAATTATTTTTGGGACAGCGTACCAAACGCGTCACGTTCACTCTTCGTTCAGAGATTGACTCGACTGAGCTAGCATCCTGCGCTCCTGCACTTGTAGTGTAGGCGGCTATTGATAACAACACATCATTAATGATAAAATTACTAACAGTCTGTTCTCGCTTGCATCTTAAATTTCGGAAATTCAATAAATTCGTTTTCGAACTGGCGTTTTCGTCAATCAATCATTTTGACCTTGGATGACTGACAGCGTTATTTTAGGTTGCATTGCAATTTTCCTAATTAAAATGTTTGCTATTAAATCTGAAAAAACCTTTAACTTTGGAACTTGCATCGCGCAACCGACATTTATTACCTATTGCTTAGATGCTTAAGCCCATTATACCATCTATTCCCCAAACATTGTAATTTAAACTAGACTAAGACTAAGATTTTTCAATTGCCGAATCCCCATGCGTTGGACTGATCAGGTGAAAGACCTTACTGAAACCCCACTTAACGAGTGTGTGCGCCGGGCCTCGGTTCGCAAACTGTGGAAAACATCTGTCAAGGCTTTAATGAGCAAGAATTCCACGTGACCACGACGGCTCTGCCAAGAGCAACCGATTATGATGAAATGATGATGATGAATCGGGTGGACGAGCTCACGGCCCACCTGGTGTTAAGTAGTTGTCGGAACCCATAGAAATCTACAACGTAAATGCCGCCACTCACCTTGACACGTGAGGTCTCAGTTTTTACAGTACAACGACTGCCTCACCCTTCAAACCAAAACACAATGCTGCTTCACCGCAGAAGTAGGCTGGGCGGTTATGTATACCTGTGAGAACTCACAGAACGTTCTACCAACCAGTAAGAGCTATCCTATTTTATGGAATCGGCACGTGAGTCTATTTGTCGTTGTGATTTGGTACTTTTTTACTACCATTCTGGACCTTTCCTTGGGAACGGTTGGACCAATAGTAGTAAGCAAAGAAACTTGAAAATTCTATTGCTAACGGTGTATGATGGGTAAGAAGCCTATGTCTGCCGACAATCTAAAATATTGCGATATTCTCAGAAATATAAGAAGTTAAATATCTAAACTTGATACAATAACACATCTGCCCTGGCTAAACGACGAGGTCTGGACTAAACACGATCCTTTCATCCCAAAAAAAACCTAAAATGGTTTTATACAAAAAATTTGTGGATTTTTTAACAAATAATTTGAGTTCAGTTTAAGGAGTTAGACACCCCCAAAAATGAAACGTCCGTAAAATCAGTCGTGTATATCACGCAGTTGATCCATTTGAGTTGTTGTTTTTTTGCGAGTTTTATATGCTTTTCATATCTTTGGATCCCAGATACTGTTTGTTAAATCACAGTAAACAATGTTCTTTCACTAAAAGCCTTACACAAACACTTCTTATTTATTTATGAAGTTTTTATACTTTGTGAGAAAGGAATTTAAAGCAAATGCTCCCGCGTCATTGTCCTTAGTTGTTCCATTGTTCCCGCCCATGTTCCAGAATATATATATATATTTTTTACGGCACTACCTAATCTAATCGTTTGACTGTTATTTAGGATCGTGTCATTAATTACTAACAGTTTCGCTTACTGTATCTGGGTATTTATTATCTATTTTTAAACGTATATACGCTTTAATATCGATGTGTAGGAAATATTAGATTGGATTTTGTTTCCGATTATTTATTCCTGACAAATGGAAATTTAACATCAAAATATCCATTAATTTGTAATCATGATTTTTGCAAATAATTTCATTGATTGGCCACCGTGATAAGATCACTCAACTAGATTCTACCAATTTGGTAGCTTCTTTATTATCATTGTAGAATTATAGTGTGAATGAAATTGAATGAATCATTAATGTTGTCCCATTGTCACCGAACTTGTTGCTTGTTAGCAACAGTTGTAAACATTCGTATTAAACAGAACAAAATGCCGCATACAGTAACATGGTGAAAAGAAAATATGTTTTAGCTTCCATTTTAGCAGTAACTTTGATTAGTTGGATATATTGGAGTTCAAACCATGAAGTAAATAACACTATAAAAATACTTTCTGAACAAGAAAGTTTTAAACATACAATTATTCAACCAAGTGACAAATTGTGTACAGGTACTGCAGCATTAATTAAATGCATTTAGATTACATTTACATGGTCATACTTTATTATGTCTTATTTACGTTTTGGTGTGCAATAAATTATTCTAAATTGAGATAGCTAGTGTATTTTGTAACCAAAGATAACCAATGAACTGCATAATTGTGGGTGTTTTGTTTAATTGTTTTGAAATTCAATTAAGTGGTTATCATATACATTCGTTCAAGCGATTGTACGGCTCTAGCGCGAGACGTCACAGGTTCGAGGCCAGGCACGTTTCCATTTTTTCCGATTTTATGTACTCTAATAACTACGTAATATTATAATATGTAGTTACAGTCTTAGGTTTTCGCCAGTGGTAAAGATATTTAAATCAGTTTTTTGTGTTGTATAAAACTGTTCTGAAAAATTGTAAGTGTCACAAAACCGTAAAAGTACTTTAATTTGATTATATTATGTTTAAGTACTCACTTCGGTAGCTTGGTAATGATTTAAGTGGTACAGCAAGAAGCATCTTTCGTTGGTTTGATGCGATTAAGTTATTCTCGGGGGAATTTTTCACAAAACTGCATAACATCTCTTATTGTAAAATACAAAGATTTCTTTTGTCGATAAGTTGTTTTTAAATGCGGGAACTGTGGTACTTGAAGTTCTTGATGCGTTGATGATGAGGTATGAAGGCTGGAATTGTTCCGCGTATGTCACCAGTGTGGAGATATACGACAAAGGCATGATCTTCCACCGAGCAGGTGATATTTGCTCGGCAGACCGACGGTCCAATTTTTTTTTTTTTAACCTACCTATGCTGATAATCCTTGAGAGGCTATTTAAGCTTTACCCTAGCGTGTAAGCGAGCTCTCGGGGCTCAAACCTAAGGTGTCGCTAAAACTAGTCCTAGTAAGAGCAGTGCTTTGCAGAATTTACCACTGAATCGGAAATGCGACCCACTGAGAAGATCCGGAAAGAAACTCAGTGGACTATGTCAATGGGTTAATTTAAGGACGGTGACCGGCGGCGGTCCAAATGTTGTTCGTTATATGTAAGGTTATCTTGAAAATGTCGTAAGCGAAACTCAGGCATTTGTCAAATATCTTGTGTTGTATGATGGCTACCACCACAGTAAACGTTAACTGATTGTTAATTTTTTTTTACAGGAAATCCCTTTCTGGTAATTATAGTTACATCGTATGTGGGCCATATTGAACTACGAAGTGCTCACAGAAGAGCCATGCCTCAAAAACTTCTGGAAGCCATGAACGCTAAAAGAGTATTCTTATTAGCTAAAATTCCTGAAAAAGACAAGTAAATATTCGATCATTTTTTAAATTACATATTTTTATGTATATTTTATGTAATAGTCTTATTACTTACTGGACAAGTGAGATGTATCAGATATTAAAATTACATCATTTTGAAGTTCAGTATTTACGTAAGTTCGCTTCGGACTTTGCGACCACTAATTCAGTCAAATATTTTCATTTATTGACCACAACCCGATCGATAGAGCCGAAGATACTATAATAATATATAACCGTTTACATTATTCGTAATTATGCACCGTTTCAGAATCATCACGCAAGAGGCAATAATAGACGAAAGCAATATATTCGGAGATATCCTACAAGGATCCTTCGTGGAAAATTATAGAAATCTAACGTTCAAGCATCTGATGGGCTTGCAGTGGGCCTCCACAGCGTGCAGCAATGCATCGTACATTTTAAAAGTCGACGACGATACCGTTTTTAATTTAGAAAGGACTTATCGACTACTAGAAACTTTAGATGCAAATGACATTTTCCTTCTGGGTTACATTCTCAATAATACGAAGCCGAGAAGGAATAAAGAAAACAAATGGTATGTTACTCGGGAAGAATACTCTAGAAAAAACTACCCTGCTTACTTATCGGGGTGGTATTACATAACAACGCCAAAAACGGCCCGCAAAATAACCGAGGAAGCTATATACCATCCTAAATTCTGGATTGACGACATTCTAATTACCGGTTTGCTCACTGAAGCATTACATATTAAATTACGACAATTGCCAAGAGATTATTGGTTGGAATATTACGAGTTACTCGAGTGTTGTTTAAGAGATATGATAAATAAACAAATTAATTGCGATTCGGTAGTTGGACCGAACGGTGGGAGAGAGAATTTGATTGTAGAATTTAATGACGCAATAAGAAACTGTGATAAATCGAAAAAGTGCACGAAACGCGATGAAAGCACGCCGTTAAAGAAAGTATGCATTGTTAACAGTGAAAGAACTATATTTAGTAATGGTCAACCTCAAGTGGAGTTATATCAATTATAACACATACTCTGTCTTATCAATATGATTCGTATTGGCCAATTATTAGGAATGTAAAATATGTATTGCTTATCTTACTAATACCATTTAATCTATCTAATCATATAAGTAGAAAAATCAATACAAATGGAAAATTCATTATTTTATATCAATGGATAAATAACGTAATATTATTATATTGACAACTGATTTATTTAACGATTTACATTATTGCATATAAATAATATATATTACAAAACATAAAAAAGAAAATGAACGATTTAGGAAGACATGATTTAAAATTTGAAATATTTTCATTACATACACCGAATTTTCATTACCATATTTTTATTTTAGAAATTGATTCTATAAGTAATTATAGTCTTAATACTAAACTCTTTTAATAATTTTCATGCGTCTTTCCAATTCATTTATTAAAATTACTTTTACGATTTTGCATTTGTAGGTGGTTCCTATCTAAAAATGTCTCAATATCCTCAATAATCTAAAATGCTTCCAATCCGTATTTTAAACAGTGTTTTTAGTTTGGATAGTTTGCACACTTTTATCTCAAAATTATAGCCTGACATAATACTGAATGAACCACACATTCAACAGTAAAATGATAATACCATCAACATTCGTAACACAAACTGTTTTTATTTATTTTCAAGAAGTCTTATCTGCATAAGGTACAGTTTATTAACAACATAAACAACTATCCATTAGTGAGGTCTTGAAAGTCAGTCTTTAAAAAATCCTAGCTCAACTTGTATCAAACATCAATTAATATAAGTAACGAAATCATTCAATCTAATTTTAACTAACTTAAAGCCTTCAGATATCATGAAAATTTGCACACATATCAAGGCGCACAAGAATACAATACTTTTTTTCTGATGATAATAAAGTACAATAATATACCTAATATCTTGACCAGAATAAAAATATTTAATTTCACCTTTTAGTACCTATATACAAGGTTCTCTAATAGTTTTATCTTTAAATCATCAAAAGTATTATTATAACAATATTTACTACCATTTAAATATTTGTCTACAGAGCTTTTCAAATACACTGAATACATACATAAATATCTATCATCATTACGCATCTAAAAATATACACAGCTTGCATTCGTTTTTTCATTTCCCATTTCACTTAAAAAGAAAATTGATGTAAACAAATCTTAAAAGGCACAACTGTTATTGCAAATTTGTTAACCATTAATGATAAATAAAAAACAGTATAATTTAACAAATATATAAATGATAGCTATTCAATAAAATCTGGGATTGACTACTAGATTATTGAACTAAATCAAAAACATTTTTTTAAATATTTGTACTAACTCAACTGCTACATACAAAATGCAAACAGAAATACTGTCAGCAAAAAAACGAAGTCAAAATTTTACTAATATCAATCAAATTCTACTAATATCAAGAACTCATCCATGTGTTAGTAATAGAACTACCGTTTACGATACAGTCTTTGAATCCTTTCATCACATAAGATGATTGATACCATTTTATTGTGTCAGTGGATTCGATTTCATTTAATTCTTCACAGTTTTCATTGAAACTATCCTCATTGCCAATATCAGTAGTGGATACATCACTAAAAATTTTAAACTCATTACAACAGGTAAAATTTTCAGTATTTCCTGTTCTGAAATTGATTACAATTATTCTAGAACTAGCAGGAATTCGGTGACCACTTGTAAATGAATAGTTACTTGTATCCAGCAAAGCATCTTGATCGTTAAAGGTTCTTTTCTTTAGAAAAACAAACATGTTTGTTGGAGCTAAAGTGTTTAAGAACATTTCATTCAATTTCTCAGAGGTCACTACTGCTCTGTAAAGAAAAGTATTATTACACTGGGTCAAATAAAATAATTTTTATATTCTATATTCTAAATTTATTAATAAAAAATAACTTTAGTGACTAAGTAATTTCTAATTTTTTCCAATAACCTTCTGCAAATTCATGTTGTAATTCAGAAGGAAATGAAAATTAATAATTTGATCCAGTTTGAAGGAATTCCAGTTTTAAGAGAATTGAGACTTTATAGTTGTCAGAGTGAGTGATGTTATTAAAATTGTAGTGTCTCCATAAAGAGAACAGAATAAAGATGAATTCTTTATTTTGAGCTGGCATGCATGGACAAATATACATAAATACTTGTTTTTTTAGTAAATTTAATTACATCACAAATCAGCCAACAGAATTATGATTGTCAAACCTGTGGAAAGTCTCTGTAAGATAAGAATAAAAGTCATATCATTGCTGCAGAAATAAGCAAAGCTTATAATAATACACTTAACTAACATATTTATATGCAATAAAAGGATCTGAAAGATCAGGAACTCATTAAATAAGAAAATCATCGAAATAATGTGTAATGTGTGTAATAACAAGATTCTTTAACAAAATCTCTTGTCTTGCATTGGATAAATGAGTCGACTAGTATCAAAGCCGGCAATGTGACTTTTGGACAATTATTGGTAAATCAGAAAAACGAATTATTGACTTTGTATTCCATTCGCAGCCACAAAACTCTTCTGAACGACATCTTAGATAAATAACAGGTTAAGTATTAACCTTTATTTAATGCAGGTTTTGAACCGTATTCTTTGAAGGAGACGATTATATTCAAATCAATCTGTATTGACATATCAATAACATTTTTTTGTCCAAACGCACAGACCTTTACCACCTTTGATAATAGACGACTCAAATGTGAATTTTTTGATAACCAATTACAATGGATATATGTAAAAAAATGTTATAAATAATTGTAAGAGCAGATTTAGACTCACCTAAATACATTTCTATGTATTTTTTGGTCACTGGCTATGAGACTTGAATGACACTGTGGTCTGTGGCAAGTAGCTGGCAATATCAATCTATACACTTCCTTACAAGTTATAGGTGTAGCTCCGAGAATTATGCACACCTCATCTGGCATTGATGGGCTGTTAATTTCAAGAAGCAGACTCTGAAAAACATGGTGTCTTAAAATGCAAATGGAAAAATTTTGGGTTCCAAGTAAGATGATCAAGGTTTAATAGTTAAATCCACAAATTAAAATCTGAATAAATTGTAAAAACTTGTTTTGTAGTTAGCCAAACTATAAAGTAGACACCAATGTTTCAAAGTGCATCAATATCACATTCTAATATTCCATTAGATATATGCAGACAGACAAAGATAATAAAAGTGTGTTATAAAAGACTGACATGTGAGAGATATTTTCATTATTGCTTTCAAACAAACAAGTATAGTTACTGTTGGGTATAGTACTAAGGGCCTGCATCTGAGGGCTCTCGTTAAATCTCATTTGAAGAAGTATATATATGTATATCATTCTGCTCAGGTAACACAGTGGAGAGGAGGGACGTGGCAACTATATCACTGAGAACTGGAATGAATATCATCTCAACGGTTCCTCAGATCACTAATGGAATATATGTTATAAAAAACAATGAAACGAAGTCCCACTGTAGAGCCAGAAGTTTTAAGCATTCCTTGAAAAAAGGATTATTGATAATGGCCTTTTCTTGTACGGATTCAAATGTAAGAAGCAGGTATTTGAGAGCCCAGGCCTACAGACGAAAACAATACTCCAAGCAAGGCCTAACTTGTGCTTTGTAAAACAATGAAAACCGCTCGAAAGCCCAAGTCCAAGATTTTTAATACCTTGGGAAGATTGCAGTGATACACAGGCATATATCTTTTATTGATTACCTTTAGGATAAGATCTAAATTTTTCAGTGCGGTTTCTGCAGTACGGAAGTGTTTTTCACTTTGAAAGCTTTCTTTTTTATTTTCGTGATCCAGTTCCTTCCTTTTGGTGATAAGTTGCTTCAACCATGGATAGGTATAAGGAATCTGCAGTCTTTGATACGCTATAAATTTTATTAATTCTGCAACAACGTGACCACATGATATGGTCGTTAGTTGATCACCAATATTTATTTCAAGCTTTAAGTGTTTGTTTGGAGTGGACGAACTCATTGTGAGGAGAGGACCAATATTTTTATTTTGCGTTGACTATCTTTTTATCAATATAAATAGTTTTTAGTATTTAAATATGGCATTGTGATTTTATTACAACTTTAAAATTTTCAAAACACTTTTGACCAGTAAACTTCTAGCACAGGTTTATGGGATTTTATGATAGAGACCTGGTAACTAAGACTTTTAAGTCATGTCTTATTTTAATTTATATTCTTATTTTTATGAAAAATGATGAAATGAAATTAATTGAAATGAAGATGATTAATTTGAGACATTAATCAACTGGGATGAAATTAAATGAAATGAGATGAGATGAAATGATATAGGATGAAATATAATCTTAGTAAAATGGTGGTCATTTACTGAATTTTTTTCAGTAAACTTTTTGGAGGATCCCGAGAAGTTACGTCCAGCGGCTTTGTTCATTTTCCCACATTTGTGCACTTTTACAGATATTAAACAGTTAATAAACCACCGTTATTACATATTTAATCCCGAAGAAACACTAAATAGACAAAATAAAACAAATCACATTTCACCCCTCGCGTTCCCGCCAAAAAGTCTCCTCTAGCACCCCTCCTAGATGAACCTTTGTTCGCCCACATGTCTTGGTTAAACTGGAAAGGCTTCTGGGACACCAGTAATCCATAATGCATAAAAAAAATGCAGTAACTAATATAATAATCTGTGTATACGCCTAGTTGAAGATCACTGTAATAGATTAAACACAAGACAAGGTTGTTTAGCAGCTAGTTGTTCCTTCATGGTTTGCAGGGGCTGAAAATAGATCCATGCCTTAATCGTTTGGCCAGATTCTAGGAAGCTGTATTGAACGACACCGGCGCGTGGCATCTGTTTCTTCCGTGAAGCAGAATGCGTTTCGGTTTGAAGGGTGGGTCAGCCGTGGTAACTAACTTTACTAACTATAATTAGAATCGGATTCGAACACCAGTGAATCGCTCAACATTAATGCCCCGAACGTCTTATCCCTTAGGCCACGACCCGGCGACGATTTCAAGACCTATAACATAATATAATATAAATGTAACATAACATAATAAACAAAATAAAACAAATAACACAACTTCACTCCTCGCGTTCCGACCAAAAAGTCTCATTACCTATGAGATGGCAAAAGTGCATATATAATAACAATATATACTTTGATTAATTAAATATATCTTACAAAAAAAATATATTTTATATTCCTCCCATACAAAACGCCAATTTCATTTTCCCTACCTATTCTAGTAACCTCGAGGGATTATTCGCCGAGCTTGCAAGTGAACTCACGGGATTCAAACTTGACGACGTTGCTAACACGAACCCCAGCAAGAACCATGCTTCGCAAAATCTACCACTTGTTTGGAAACGCGACCCACTGAGAAGATCCGGCGAGAAACTAAGTGGGCTGTGTCTGCGGGTTAATTTACTCGTTGAATCCTTCGTCGCAAGCAACGGGCTCAACGAGAACGATGACCGGTGCTTGAAGTACCTAAAAGCACCTTTAGTGGATGGGCAGGATCCGAAATGACACCACAATTTCATATGTAAGGACCTAATATATATAAAAAATTAGGCTGTATGGTATGGCACTTTGGCCTTTCCAGTTCGAAAAATAAAACTACTGTTACTGTAATTCGCGCCAAATTTTTGACATGTAGTCTCGTAATCTCGTAAAACTAAACGACTAGGAGAATAAACACGGGATTTTTTTGCCCATTTACTTACCTATAATGTATTTAAATGTTATGATAAAATTGTTTACGTTTTATTCGTTAAATTTATATAGAATTAGAATTTGAACATATCAGTTTTAAAATAAAAAAAAAACCTTGTAAAGGATAAGGTTATAAAAATATGCATTATTAATATAACATTCTATTATTTTGCGTGTTGAAATTAAAGTGCCACTATGAAAACGGAAGGCTTAGAAAGGAAAGGTGTGGAAAAGTTGTGGTGTGGAACCAACATCAACGAAAACGATTCTGTCTCGGAAAACATGATAACAGTGCATGATAAAAGCATAAGCTTAGTAATAAAATCCAGTGCAGGTCGCAGCGATACAAGTGATGAAGATGGGATACCCGTAGTACGAGTGAAAAGGCGTGTTAAGCAATTTTCTGATAGTGGTAGTGATATCGACAAGGAGATTTTGCATAAAGGTAGCCAAAATGGTAGGATTTTATTTATAATAATTCTAACATAGTCAATGTTTTGTTTATTATTACAGAGTGGCAGTTATAAAAATATTCTATATTGCATCTATCGATTTTTACAATGTTAATTCAATTCATATCATTGTCATACTTTGTTTTCTTACAATCAAACCTGAGATAACACTGCAATCCTATTTTATTATTTTATTGCACTAAACGGTTACAGATCACATCTCATTTGGTATTAAGCGTTTAACAAAACCTATAGACATTAGTCTGAATTATATTGCTCTAACCCAAGCACATGACTGTTGTGGTAGAAATAAGTAACATAGTAGTAGTTACATGTGAGGGTATTACAAGATATTATTATAGTAGCATAATTGTATTACAAACCTATATGTTTTATTTACTTTCATTGTTTCATCTATATCTGTTATCTTTTAGTAATATAAATGAACCTATTAATGAAAGAGGTGCTTCATTTTTGTTCCATTTTTTATGTAGAAAACATGCCACTGAAATATATTATATTTTTTGAAATCAGAAGAAAAATATCCATACTAAATTTATTCTAATTTAACTAATGAACTAAATTAAAACATTTCAGCAGATTCAAGTTCTGATAGCGAAAATGGAGTTTACAAGCTTACAAATAAGCAGGCCAAGAAAAATTCAGATTCAAATTCATTTAATTCAAAAGAAATAAAATCACTGAAAAATGATCAGCAACAACTGAGTATGAAAAATAAAAGAAATAAACTGAGAGAAAAGTTTAAGAATTTAGTCCAAACAAAAGGAAAAGTAAAACAGCAGAATATCTGTGAGAGTGAGAAAGACAGTAAGAAAACATCAGAAGATTCTGAAGATGATGCTGCCTCTGTGGATAATATTAAACAAGTTTGTATTTTATACATTTCCCACATACATATTCATAACTGCATCTCTAAATTTGAAATCTTATAAAATATGCCTAGAACTGTCTGTTTGTCTAACATCAAAATTCTATGCTATGCATTGGCTAATCTACTACAAATAAATAAATAAAGTAAATTCTTAGTTGTGTTACTACTAATAATAATAAACTTAACATGTCCTCTCTATCCCACCTGAGTTATAATAGCTTAATTAATAATTTATGTAAAAACTTACATTAGCGATTTTTTTGATTCAGAAAATCAAAGAGAAACTTAAAATTGAACCATCACACTTTAAACTGTCTGTTTGTGATCCTGACACATCCTCAGATGAAGAAGAGAAAGAACTGGAGAATATTAAGCTGAAACTTTCAAAACAAAATAAAAAAAGTAAATGTACACAACCAACATCACCTAAGCCTATGAGAGTAAGTACTTATTGCCATTATCTGATTTCAATGATGGAATAAAAATCACTCATTGTGCTTTATTTATCCTTAGGTTAAGGGAAGGAAATTATGATTCTGTTTAGTTTATTCGATTATAGTTAGTTGAATGTAGTCCAACATCAAAAATTAATTTCCACCACACCTGCCTATTTCTGCCATGAAGCAGTAATGAGTTTCGGTTTGAAGGGTGGGGCAGCTATTGTAACTATACTGAGACCTTAGAACTCATATCTCAAGGTGGATGGCGGCATTTACGTTGTAGATGTCTATGGGCTCCAGTATACATTTAACACCAGGTGGGCTGTGAGCTCGTACAACTATCTAAGCAATAAATAAATAAAAAATCAATCTCATGAGCTACAGGCTGATTGAGATTGTTTATTTCATTCTGGAAAACCCATATTTACAGCCAAAAGATCTTACATGACAATAGTCTTAGGGTGTTTAACCAAAAAATTGGGGCCCATATTTGGCCCCTTGATCAACTGCTATTCGATTAACTATATTTCGTAGTATTTTCACTTTTTTCTGATTTTAATACTTTCGAAAAAATACAGTACTTTCAATATTGGATATGTTTTTCAATTCATGTCTTTGATTACCATAATAGTAAGTTATTCTGTCGTATAGCTTTCATGCCTATTATAAAATTATTTTCAGATGACAGCTAAAATAGCAATGGAAAATATGCAAAAGATAAAGAGTGAATCTAATAGAATGCTTAGAGAAAAACAAGTGTCATTACCATACCACAGACCAAAAGCTTTGTCTTTAAAAGATATAATGAGTAGAAGAAAACCAGCATTATCTGCTGATGGAAAAGCATTACCAATAAAAATGAATGAAGAACAATTAAAGCAATATGCGTAAGCCATTAGAATACTTTTTTTTAAAGATTAAGATGTGCGTAACATAGATAAAACCTATTGAGCCTAAAAAATGGGGATTGAAGATTTTTTTATGTTAGTGAACTGACCTGAATTCACTAAAGAAACTGAATATTTCAATTATCATATATCTTCATATACTGTTGAAGGGTCACTGCTTTCATTAAAGTGTTATTTTGACAACATTAAATAAGCCAAAAGCACATGAACTTTTCCATAAAAATCTTCATTATATCTAAATTCATTAAATCTATTATATATAAACCTTAATTAAATTTATTTTATGTAATTCAGCCAACAGCTCAACGAGAGGCAAAAAGAAATGATGGAGTTGTGTAAAAGTGATACTGAAGATGAAAATGACAGTGATAATACAAAGACTAATAATGAAAATAATGAGGTTGAAGAATCTGTGAACACTGCTAATCTGTCTGTAGATAAACTCTATACTGAAAAAGATAATGTAATAAATGAAAATGTGCAAAATGAATTAAATCTTGATCAAAATGAGGACATCGCAGATTTAATTCACAAAGAGAACGATTTGAATTATAATGAAGAGAAAATATTATATGAAAAGGATAAGAGTATTACAAAACAAAATCATCAAATTGAGATTACTGAAGCTCTCACAGAAGACTTTGTTTTTACAACAAGAGATGATCAGATAAATACATTAAATAATGTAATTTACAATAATTTTGATAACTCAACTGGCAGTAGTAATATTAATGCACAAACTCAAAGAGATAGCGAAATATCCTTACATTTTGACTCTGAAACTTACACAGATAATAAATTAAAAAGCGGTGAAAACTGTAATAACAAAGAGACGACTCTTGATGAAACTGAAAATTATGATTTGTTTGATGACTATTCCGATCAACATATGAATATGATTAATATTGAGAACATTGTAAATAATGTGGAAATAAATAAGGGTAAGAATAAATGTAATACTTTCATGGTTTTATCATTAAATGTAAGATAAAAATATGGTACCTAAATTAAATTTTTCATTTGTTTGTATAAATACATAATTACCATATATTTTTAAATTCTAATTTTTATTGTTATATATATTATATTTTTAAGTTCTATCAGACACTAATATAAGACTATACACTATATACTCCTAACTCCACTATTTTTAGCAAAGGATCAAACCTTAAATATCAAACCTAAACTGATTGGTGCTCCTGGAATGGTTATTGATTTGAATGATGGTGATCCTACAATACCAAAGAAACTATCTGGTGTTGAACTACTGAAGGAAAGATTTACTTATTTTGCCAAATTAAAAACTCCAGAGGAGGCGGAAAGAGAGAGGGAGAACAGGTAGTAAAACAATATCAACCTCATTTACCAGGATTACTCTTGTATTTCCTAATTTTCTAAAATGATAATAAATAAATAAAAAATAATATTTTTTTGTACAATTTAGATTAAAGCCAGGAGCACTTTTATTGAAACTAAAACAAGAGCTGGAAGAAGAAATTGCTGAAAAACGATCTTTGGAATGGGCGAGACGATTAGAAGAAGAAAAAAAACAAGAATTGGAGCTAAAAGCTATTAGAGGGGAAACTTCAGAAGCTGAAGACGAAATTGAAAAACTTGATCGATTAGAAGAAAACCTCGAAAAAGAATCTTCTGGAGAATCAGAAGAAGATTTAATAGAAGATGACATAGATATGGTGGATAAATCTCCAAATAAAAATGCTTTTATTACTGATGAGGCTGAGGAATCCGAATGTGACGACGATGTAGCTGATGATCAGGTAGATAACCCATTAGATAGTGACAATAATGAAAAACAAATTGAAGACGAGGCCGGAGATAGTGAAATTAATGAAGATGATGAAACTAGTGAATCATCTGAAGAAGAACACACTACTGTCGGGAAAAAGGGTAGAATATTAAAAGCATTTGAAGATTCTGATGATGAAGAACGTAATGATGACCTTAATCTAGAAAGTAACAATATGTTAAAAGTTACAAGCCAGTTCAAAGCAAACATAGAAAATAGCATTGATAGATCAATTGAAACTGAAGAAAGGTCGGTTGAAAAAGAGAAAAATCAAACAATTAGCGATTCTCAAGGTAATGTTTTTCAAAATACACTCACTGTACTCATATTGAGAGAGGCCTTTAAGCTGGTACTGAAATTCAACAGAAGATACAAAATTTTCTAAATAGCTATGTACCTAACGTAATAATATTTAACCTGCAGAATTTAATAATTTGATAATTAATACACAATTATTTGTTATATTCATCTTTAAAATAGCTGATGGTGTTTTTTACAAAATACTCTCTTTTAATACGCTTTTATTAGCTTCAGACGTATGTATGTTAGTATGTAACGGAATCTTTGAACATGATTTTGACCCCCCTTCAAAACGTCGGATAAACTCGAAATTTGGTATACTTATTAAGGACAGATGACAATTTAACACGTTGAGCGCCATGTGTATCTTTCTGGAAACACAAAGTACCACCTTTAGGGGCCGCGTGTCTCCTTTAGGAAACACGAGCAGTACTTTATTCGTAAGTTATGTCTAAAAATAACTTTTGATCAAAACGTCGTACAAAAAACCCACTCACACCGAAATAACCGTGGAGGCCAGAGGTATTAGAATTCATAGTAAAATGTATTGAAATGTGTTTCCTGGCGGACACACTGGCCTACGAATAAAGTACTGCTCGTGTTTCCTAAAGGAAACACGCGGCCCCTAAAGGTGGTACTTTGTGTTTCCAGAAAGATACACATGGCGCTCAACGTGTTAATATTTAAAAAATAATAATAAAAAAATTGAAATTCAACTAAAAAATGAAAGATAAATAATAGTTTAAAAAAACTAACAAAATACGCTTTATAGAAAATCCAACTTAAAAATAGAAAACAGTTTTAATAAATTTATATCAGTAGTTATAAATACTTTATGAACAGATATGGGTAGAAGGGATATTTTGATAATATCCTGAAAAGCACCAAGCACCCCACGCTTTTTTACTATTATTTATTAATTTTATTTGCTAAACATATAGAGTAACAAGAAAAACGGGCTGTCCACGTTTCGTATATGTGCAGCCCACAAAAAGCAATTAAATTTCGTGTCGCAATAAAGAGAAAAATAAATTCATTCAAAACATATTCGTTAAAAAAGTTAAGTTATCAATAAAAATAAATTAAAAGTTAAGACACTAACACTATTATGTAATACACTGATCTTTTTTTGTTGTTGAAGACTTTAGACCTTTAGTTTAAATGGTCTGCCATGTCATGTCATACATTTGTAATTCATAATGTGTGAAGGGAACATAAGAAAATTACTTTAATTTTTATTTTTAGATGACATTATTCAACTGGCTCAAGCACATAAATCTGTATCAGATGAACTATTCACAAGTCTGGAAAGTGTTTTAGTAGTTTCTGATAAAAATATCAAAGAAGATGAGAGTGACTGTCACACACAAACATTTTCAATATTGAAATCTATTAACGGAATTGAAAATGAATTGGGTACAGAGGATAGCGAAACACCATCACTTAATGTGAGTAAAAAATAATTGAATTCTGACTGAATTACAAGGCAAATTCTTTCACTCGCCAAATCTGTGAACTATAATCATTGAAACGAATCGAGCCCACCTGTTGTGTTTTTAATATATTCATTTTTGAAAAAATAATTTTAAACATATGTAAAAATCAGCACTGAAAATTTAAGAAAAGTAAGCAAAATTTTAACATGCCTTTAGCATCCGGTAACTGACAGATCATGGGTGTCAAACCAAGTTAGTAGGTACGGGATACACCCAAAGTAATTATTAACTACTCTATTAGTAATTATTAACTATTAAGTAATTATTAACTATTTTATCCAGTTAACTTTAATACTGAGAAAATAAAGTCTGGGTGCTCTGGGATCTTGGATTATATTATGTTAACTATTACTATGCTACAAAATATTGACATAAAAAACGCACAAAAGACAACCAAATATACAAGGAACATATTTATAAATTAGAGTTGAACGATTTTTTTGCTCTCTGTGATACGTAAACGAAATTGATTTTTTTCAGAAATGAGGAAGCTAATATCGTTTTGATCTGACACTAGACAAGGAGGACATTATATTAAATAATAACGTTATTGTTTACATTGGTTAAATACCAAAATTAGCCTAGTGGAAAGGGAACCGAGAACAACTTCTCATAGGATGATTTGGTGTTAGTAATATCAAAGCTATCTCTAACCTGTTTTATATTTTTATATTTTAGAGCCTCAAAGAATCCGATACTAAAGGATGGAAAGAATGTTTGGGTCCATCTAAATTACTAAACACACAAAATTCTCAAGCGTCAACCTCACAGCCAATCGGCGAAGATATTTTAGCCCTTTGCACCGGCCAGTTCTACGAAAATGAATTCATTTCCCAAATTAATGAAGAAGATAAAAATAAACTTCATTTTATTAATGAGGAATTTGCAGACAAGAATGATATGAATATGTCATCAGGTCAAGAAAAAAACAGTGCTGAAGATTTAACGCAAACAGTTAATAATTCTGATGCTATTAACACTGTAAAGCCCAAAGACGATGGAATACTTCTACAATCAATACTTGATGAATTACATGATCCCGAATTTGATACCCCAAAACAAAATAAATATTTTTGTGGGAGCTTAGATTCGAATATTAAAAAGAAATTCATCATTGATTCGGACGATGAAGAAAATAAAACTGAAGCCAAAGTTGGTAAAAATCATAAAAAGAAGAAACGCGAAAAGCGAGCTTTGCAGATTTCAGGTGAGATATACATGTATTTCTCAAATTTAAGACCAACTGATAATAAATATCTTGAAAACATTAAATTATAATAAAATCAAACCTCAAAACTAGCAGGTAGAGCCTCATGCGGGTCCGCGCCACACTATTTTAAGGGTTGGCTAGATGAGGCTTCTTTTGTAATCGAAACTTTGACTTCATGTCTCAAGTTGGGCAGAATCAAAGTCCATTTATATTACGACACATCTACTACTATCTACTATTTTTTACTGGTGGTAGGACCTCTTGTGAGTCCGCGCGGGTAGGTACCACCGCCCTGCCTATTTCTGCCATGAAGCAGTAATGCGTTTCGGTTTTAAGGGTGGGGCAGCCGTTGTAACTGTACTGAGATCTTAGAACTTATATCTCAAGGTGGGTGGCGCATTTACGTTGTAGATGTCCATGGGCTCCAGTAACCACTTAACACCAGGTGGGCTGTGAGCTCGTCCACCCATCTAAGCAACAAAAAAAATAAAATAAAAAAAAAGTCATTAAAATGAAACATTTCTATTCTAGATGACGAAGATGAAGACGAAGAATTAGAAGAAACGGAAGAATATCAATCGGAAATCGACGATAATAATGATGATGATGCTGACAGAAATGATAAAATAGTAGAATATGATTCTGAGGAAAATGAGGTATAAAATAATTTTACAAATATTTTTGTCTTTCACACTTGTCTAGATACTATTAACTGGAGTAATTATATTCTAAAAAAATAGGTAAAAGTAATGGTCCATATAATTTAAATATAAAAGCACAATGTTGTGGTATATTGTTAGATATAGGCTTAATAATGAATGTTTTTTTTTCTCTACTTAATCATTGGTACCCTTTATGAGACTATTACGGGACGGGTAGGTGACCTCACGGAACTCGTCCTCAGAAAACGCGCTAACACTAGCCTTAGCAAATGCAGTGATTCTCTGGTAGACCACCGGATCGGAATCGCTACCCATTTAGAAGATCGGCCGAATGACTCATTCGTATCTATGGGAATGAATGAATGTTTTATAGTGTTTTCTTCGATTATTGCGAGCTCTAGTCATAATTAAAATTTATTTGAAATTAAATATAAGCACGAAATTTATATTTCAACGAATAACACCATAGATGCAAAAACTGTAAAGTTCCTGTCAATCCTGTCAATCTCTATGCAATCATGTACTAGGACCGGCCACCTGCTTTACGTCAACCCTCCTTGGACTATATCTCCTCATAAAGACATTGTAACATGCCATAGACTTTCCTGTTTCTACGTTTGGCGTTTCTTCTTCATCTCATCTCTTTACTTCATCGGCTTTTGGGTCCAATGAATGATTCCAATGAAATAGGTACTCAACAAATGTTCACGATTGACTTCCACGGTGAAGGAATAACATCGTGTAATAAAAATCAAACCCACAAAATTATAATTTGCGTAATTACTGGTGGTAGGGCCACTTGTGAGTCCGCGCCGGTAGTTACCACCGCCCTGCCTATTTCCGCCGTGAAGCGTTTCGGTTCGAAGGGTGGGGTAGCCGTTGTAACTATACTGAGACCTTAGAACTTATATCTCGAGGTGGGTGGCGCATTTACGTTGTAGATGTCTATGGGCTCTACTTAACACCAGGTGGGCTCGTCCATCCGTCTAAGCAATAAAAAAATAATGCATTTTATTGGTTCGAAGGGTGGGGTAGCCGTTGTAACTATACTGAGACCTTAGAACTTATATCTCGAGGTGGGTGGCGCATTTACGTTGTAGATGTCTATGGGCTCTACTTAACACCAGGTGGGCTCGTCCATCCGTCTAAGCAATAAAAAAATAATGCATTTTATTATTTTAAAGATTAACACTAATACATATTTAGATTTTTAAATACCAAAAGATGACAGTCACACATTTTAGTCTTTTCTGCATTTTCTAAATTCGAAAGTATTACAAATGTAGGAAGCAGAGACTAAACCGTTCAAATAGTTTTAATTATGTATGATTTTTTTAAGTAAATAATAGATAAGTGAGATATTATGTAAGCCGTAATGTCCACTATAAATTCCGCTAAATTTTTCAACTACCGCATTGTTTTGGAGGGTTATTAAAGAGTACCCCACATGCTTCTGCTAATAATAAAAAAGCATGTACATATTCATATTTATTCTTTTAGTAATATAGCTAAATTTACGTAATCACACGCACAATAAACCCTAAAAAACACAAATTACTTCAATGAATGAAATCCTAAATGAAGGCCTAAACTTACCTCAATACATCGATCATCGATCATTCATCGATCGGTTTGAAGGGTGGTGCAGCCGTTGTAACTATACAGAGACCTTAGAACTTATAGCTCAAGGTGGGCGGTGCATTTACGTCATAGATGTCTATGGGCTCTAGTAACCACTTAACACCAGGTGGCCTGTGAGCTCGTCCACCCAATAAGCAATAAGCAATAAAAAAAACGAACTACAACCAAATTGTTTTAAACATAGCAAAATTATATACCAATGTTTGCCTACGGTTTTAAGTACGTTTATTTCCGTTTTAAAATTCTTCTAAGATAAAAACCAAAATATTTCCAAACGTGTATTGTTATATTAACGTAACATTTCAACATCAAATTTAAGGTGGAAGTCAAAGTTCAATACACTAAGAAAAAACGTACAACGACAGAGTTTTTCGAGAATGAAGCAGAATTGACTTCAGAAGATGAGTGGATTGGTTCCGGCGATGAAGACGAGGCTGGTCTCGACCGTATGGAACGAGAAGAAGGAGATGATGAGACATTTAATCAGAGGAAACTGCAAAGGGAACTTGGACAGATACACATGTATGTATTAGTTAGATGCATAAAAAGTACAAACAAAATTCGGATGGTCGAAGATATCTGACCTTACATACTTTACTGATGAGAGGGTATTTTGCCATCTTACATTGGTAGGCTATACCTACCTATAGTAGGGTCATTTAAGAAATCGGTACGTGTGTTAGGAATTTGAACATGGCATCTTATCCTTTAGCCCATGATGACTTCATTTTAGAGTCACTGTCACCCGTACCAGAAAAGCGACAAGTCATTCATATTTGTTTTTCCATACTTCATAATGTTCTAATTACATTCCGAACTGATAAAGTGAAGTCAGTTATTAAAGCCCATAAGTTCCTAATCAACAAGTTTTTTTTTTTTTATTTATTAATTGAGTGACGTATATTTTATGGTTTTTAACTTTTTTTCAGGCGCGACGTAATGGATCAAGACAAACGAGAAGTGCGTATTATTCAAGAACTGCTGTTCGAAGACGGTGATCTCGGAGATGGGCATCGTCAGCGGAAATTCAGATGGAGAAATAATGGTATGAAAACAAATACATTTTTTCTCATTTTAGTTATTTTTCTGTAAAATTTTTGGATTTTGTGTTCTATATGGATTAGGTTAGCTCTTATTCCAATAGAAATAATTATTTTCCATCCAATTTTAAATGTTCACAACTGTTCATATGACAGACGATTTCAATCCAATAAATATTTGGGATCATGATTTATTTTTCAGAGGACGATGAACAAATGGGTACAATTGTGGGTGATTACACTGATACGCAAGAAGAAGACTTTGAATCTGAAGAACAATGGAGAAAACAGAGGCACGAGAGGGAGATATTTTTAAAACAGATGGTAAATTCAATAAAAAAATAATTTAATATAGTAAGCGGCACGTAAGTTGGCAAGGTTTTGGTGTAGTGGGGGTAATGTCGCGCATAGTGCACATTGCAACAAAAAAATGGTCACTTTTATTGCCCGCATATAATTTAATTTTATTTTATTTTATTGTTTATTTGCCATAACTTATTTTTAAGCCTGTGTGTTTTGAAGAAAGTAAAAGAAAAGAGAGGAATTCGTGAAGTGTATTAGGTGTTATAAATAAAATACAATTAAAAGTTAAAGAAGTTTATTGTAAAAAATATACTTAATATTAAAAATTATGTGTCGCCGTCGTCACTATCATTTTCTAATAGTTCTACCCCTTGCATTAAATTTATGGTAGCACCTGAGCTGGGGGAAGGAGTTGGCTCCTCATCGTCGACATAACGAAGAGTCGCTGTCGTCACTGGCGTAAATAATAAAACGCTCAGTGACTGAATCTACGATATGGTCATTGGTATTTGGTCCTGGCATTGCAAACAAATATAAAACAATAACACTCGTAACAAAAACTAAATTTAAACAATAATAACAACTCCTAACAAAAACTTAATATAAAAAAGGGTATCCTACAACTTAGTAGGCGCATGTGTAGCCGGGAGCGAACGGAACGTGGACGCGGTGCGGGAGGGGAGGGTCGACTGACTCACCAATCGCGCGCTCGGAACGGTGCTACGTCTTTCCCCGCGTCCCGCTTGACAACCAAAGAGACCTAAAAAACGACTTCTGCGCATCTAACGACTCTTGCCAAGTTACGTGCCGGGGACTATATCATTTACTTGCTAAAAAGAAATGAGATTCCATCAAACACTGAATAGTTTTACTACCAACATAGACGAGGTTTTTGTACACATAGTACATTGCGAATTTTGAGTACCTATTCATCAGTAGTATAGGCTGAAACTCATCACAGGACAGGACACGCCATAGATGTCAAAATTTAAATTCCGCTGCCGACTGTGTGAGCCAATAGTATGTTTTAGAAAAAATAATATTTAAATGGTTTGTTTCTAGCAAAGCAAAGATGACAATGAAGACTGCAACATAAGTATAGATCGGACAACTATAATTAAAGCTAATTTATGTTCGAAGACAATGTCGACATTGCTTCAAGAAATGAAAAAGACTGACACACGAAAGACTGAAGACCAAGAAAAATATATTAGCGCGGAAAAGAAATCGACAAGAGATATACCTAGTCCAAAGAAGGCTTATTCTATATTCCAGGTACCAATTCGTAAAAAAACAAAAGAAAATCTTGTTTTAAGTTTTACTATATGTATATTTGCATGCACTTCCTCAGCTCACCCCAAACTAAAACTTGTTGTTTATTGTTCCCCTCTATATTATATCTATCTAAAACTATTTTTGACCATTGACTAAATTGTGTACAAAACGAACATTAACTGAAATCCTGAAAGTTAGCCTATGTTCTTATTTGATTGCTGTATGGGCCAACAAATTCATGATCTACTTGCTATTAAGTGGTTACCGGAGTCTGTGGACATTAGAATGTTTATTAAATCACTTTGAGAGATGAGTTTGAAGTTATATTTATATTGTACAAAAGACAACCGTTTGTAGCCTTCATAATGAAACCTGTACTTACAAATGAAACATACAAGTCAGTGGATTTAATGATTTTGCCATATTACATAACATTACAATAATGAATACCAGAGGTGAAACCTTGATCAGTTTCGACATGACTGTACAAAGTCTCTATTACTCTATTTCATAAAACTTTAACATAAAAAATAATGTAATGCTTAAAATGTTGCCTTGTTCTTTTAACAAATGTGTTGATAGCGAAAAATGTTTCAGCAAAACTACCATGGTTCACTACTAACACGTGGTAACGGTGCTCTAGCCCGTTTAGCGGCGCTTGCAACTCCATTGGCGATCAATGACGATTCTCCTAAAGTTGGCTCTTTAGTTCCTACCAACAGAAGAAACTTCGTCTTTTCCTCCGTTACACCTGATAAAGAACCAAAGGTTTGCTTTTATGAAAATTAGCGTTTTTTTTATTTTCTTATTGCCCTTGTAGGCAGACGAGCATACGGCCCACCTGATGGTGAGTGGTTACCGTCGCCCATGGATTTCAGCAATGCCAGGGGCAGAGCCAAGCCACTGCCTACCGCTAAAAGCTATAGCTTAAACCTATTATTATCTTAAGCTACCATATAATTAGGTAGATTTTTCATGTAATGTAGTGGCAACAATACTTTGCTTAAAATTTCGGCCATTGGTTTCAAATAAATTTTAGTGTTAATTTATAAAACAATCAAAAAATCGCCCCAGTGATCTAGTTCGATACTCGTCGAAATCTGTATCTCTTTAATATTTTTTAATGGCCCTGCAGAAAACATATCTTAAATTATTTAAAAAAAAGAAGAGCTGTTTGTGAGATTCTAACATGTAATTAAACACATAAATCATGTAAATTTACAGGGAATGAAAAGAAAGGCGGATAGTAAACCTGACACGCCTCGACTTATGAAGAAACTGAAAGCGACAGACAAGCAAACGCTTTCCAAGAATAGTTTGTTAGACCATTTGAAGGTGTAATTGTTTAATAAGAAAGTTCACTAAATAATATTAGATTTAAATGAATCTAATCTTAAATGGCCTTAACAAGTTATTCATTTTCATAAATGATATTACGCAAGACATGTACTCTGTTTTGTTAGGTACTGTAAATTAGGTATTAATTGAACAATATATGAAATGTTTTACAATAAATTATTTTAAACAAATGTTTGTTTTAGTATAATATAGATTTGTGCATTGGCTATGGAATTAAATGCAAAAATCACTGAATGATAACAATTTAATATAATATATTCTGTTTTTTAACCTACTCAGTGCCCTCGATATATTTTGTGGTCTAAAGGATAAGATGCTCGGTACACCATTGTCAAGTGATGCAGCTATACCGGTGTTTAGATCTTAGAGACCGGTACCAGTTTTTGTAAGGAATTTCCTAGATAACAATTGTTCACGTACGACTTTCGCAATAATATCGTGCGATGAAAATCAAAACAACGAAAACAACAAATGCTAATTTACGGTGAACAGCCTATTTGCACCATTTACGTTCCGCTATGAAGGGAGTGACAGGCCTTTACAATGGAGATTTGAATCAGATTCCTCGTGGGTGGCGACATTCACGTGATGTCAATGAGCTCTGATAACCATTTAATACCACCAGTGTGCTTAGTGCGATTTTTTTAACGTTCTCGATGTCGAAAGACAACTCAAATTAGTAAAGAGTTGGAAGAGCGCCCCTAGCGGCAAACGTTCCAACTTCATACAAATTTGAGTTAACTTTTACGCTATCGAGAACGTTAAAAACCTCGCACTAAGCACACTGGTGGTAAGTGAGTCCGTACAACAGTTTTTTTTTTCAATAAAAACAAAATAAAAATATTTATTTTGCTAAATAATTTTTGCAGAATTAGGCCGCTATGGCCTTTAATTGTGATAGTAAAGAACGCAGATCGAAGGAATTTTCAACTTCCGCAAGCGTACACGCAAGGAAAACAACATAGGAAATTCTGCCCTCGACTTTCTCGCAATTATACCAGGAAATTCATAGTATCCAATGTAGAATATGCTACATGTAGAATTATACAATAAAATAACTTTATAAATTTTAACACCTCATCTGTTCACTCCCGAAACAAATGTCTTATGAATAAAACAACCACTTAACAAACAAATGCAACATCAACCCAGACAGTGATTTTCTTCTCTTCAGCTATAGACACTGATACGAGCCCTATTCCTATTGTAAAAGAAAATCTATTTAAGCGTGATAAAAAATTTAAAATAAAAATCATATGCGATCTGAAACAACAGTTGGAGATTGGTTTTTTTTCCTACCTAAGCTGGTACCCTTGAGAGGCTATTCCAGCGTAACCTTGACTAGTAGGTGAGCTCACGGGGCTCAAACCTGACAACGTTGTTAACACGAACCCTAACAAGAGCCGTGCTTCGCAGAATCTACCACCGGATCGGAAACGCGACCCACTGAGAAGATTCGGCGAGAAACTCAGTGGGCTGTGTCTGAGGGTTAATTTACTCGTTGAGCCCTTCGTCGCAAGCGACGGGTTCGACGAGAACGATGACCGGTGCTTGAGGTACCTAAAAGCACAGTTAGTGGATCGGGAGGATCCGAGATGACGTGTTTTGGGCGACGTCGACTGCTTTCCATTCTTTCCACAGGATCGGGAATGTAGTTACCGGCGGCCGCGATGAGAGAGTTCTCGTGTCGTGCCGCTTTATCGAAGTGGTGGAGATTGGGTCGCCAATTTTACCTTCTATACCCGTAGTGATGATCACAATAAAGTGCAATTACCACCGGGGAACGTCTTCAGTTGTCAATTCTAGCGACATGCTCAGATTTTCCTGACAATGCATTCGTTGCTTATTTACTACATGTCAATTTTAAGAGATAATAGAATAGATATACCTAAAAGAGACTAGCTGACCCGGTAGACTTCGTAGTGCCTCAATAGATAAATAAAAAACCTAATCTTTTGTATAAAATAAGCTTTAAATAAACAAAAGGAATCCGTCCGACGGGGGACACATCAATGGAAAAACAAAATTGTTATTTTTATTTAATTCCGAGCATTTTAATATTTATCTACCTTGTAAACCTTCTCTGGACTTCTACAAATAATTCAAGCCACATCGCTCCAGCCGTTCTCGAGGTTTAGCGAGACTAACGAACAGCAATTCATTTTTATTTTTAGCAGACAGAAAACAAAGCATTTTCGCTTTATTGTGGATGGGATACGGAAAAGTTGCACTGTCGCTCAAGGAACGGTGGCTGGCATAACGGTATTTTTTTTCCTATCTAATCGCTGGTTGCCAGGAAGCTATTCCAGCTACGTTGTGACTGGTAGGTAAGCTCACGAGGCTCAACCTGAGAGAATTTGCTAACACTGGCCCTAGCGAGACCAGTGCTTCGCAAAATCTACCGACGGATCGAAATCGCCATAACAACTGGAATCATGCAGTATGTAGTAAAAAGAGATAAACGATAACCCTAAACGTCTAGTGGCTATTATATTATTATGTCCAATTAATATAGCAGTATCTGTCGAAAATCTATGAGAAGTGTCAGGCTACAAACGTTACTAAGTTAGGTTTCAAAATAAACATTAAAAATTTCACACCGAGTTCAGCTTCAATCAAAATCACCTAATATAATTTATATCGACTTTCAAATTCCAAAATTACCCTCAAATAATGATAACAAATTATATTATTGTACGTTCTAAAACTAGTGATTAAAATCTTTGTTAATTGTAACATGTAAAATAATAAATATAACAAATTCTATATATGATAATCTAATTATTGCTTAGAAAATCGAGCATTTAGTTATAATCTACAGAATCCTCCATTTGGATCTTTAAATTAACATTTGTCGCTGGTAACACGTTTCTAGTTGTTATGTTGGATGAACTGTTTTGAAACACATCCTTCCGTTTTTCTGATCTCCATCCCTCTTCATTTTATTTTCTGTCCCGTATTTTCCTTTCTAAAGACCCGTAACGTAGCAACTATCTCTGTCTGTTTGATCATGTTCACTCCGTGTGTGTGGCGAACCTTGCATTCAATTCAATCAATGCTTTTTTGCGGAGAAGCGTGTGAGTTCTAGTCAAATAAATTTTGAAATACATAAAAGTAGTTCCGGCAGAGCTGGTGTGGATCTGTCGAAATGGCAAAAGAGAATACTGTAATCGGCGATATTGTTAAGAAAAGCAAAGTTTTGCTTCTTGATATTGAAGGAACTACAACATCGATCAGCTTTGTTAAGGTAGGTCTGATGAATAGCCGGCCGGTGTTTTATTTTAATGCATGTTTCTTGTTTAATTTGCGTATCTATTTCGACATAAACTGCATTATATGCATTTGAAATTTTATAAATTTATAAAGAATGCAGTCATGTTTTAAGATTCGCAACATGGTGGACGAAATCAAAATGGTACCTACCCCCTTTCATGCCGCTTTCATTGTCTGTTTTATTCGTTTTTCGACTACATCCTGCATTTAAAATACAAATTCATTATTTTCGTGTAATTTTAGCTAACTGAACTGGTATTAATAACAGTAGCCGTAGTAATTAGTAGTGGACGATAGATTAGCTTTTAATTTAATGTTTTTAATTTTCAATTTCAATAAATGACGTCTTCATTCAACTTAGTTGAAACTAATATCACAAGGTTGGATTATGACTACCGGCATGAACAGCTGTTCGTAGCAGCTGGCTTGTAAAAAATGTACATACAGTTAAGCATCACTATGTATATGCCGTCTCAGTCACACCCACCTCGCGACGATTGAATTAAGACAAAGACAAAAAACTCAAATTAACGTTTGTAAGACGCGGCAACATTACTATGCATTCTTTTTCTGAAATGAAAAGTGAGTGATAACAAAGATTAAATACTACCAAGGACACGCTTGTTATTATTACTAGCAATGAATTTATTAGCAATATAAATTAAAAAGTTTTGATAAAATCATAATTTTTAAAAGATATAAAATTATTTAGTCTGTGTGTACTTTACGTTTTTGATGAAAAGTACATTTTGCATTTACAATTACAGCAATTGATATTGGAAATTACAATTTTCATAAGATTACTCTTTTGATGATGCAGTCATTAATATGTATAGAATGAAAACAATCTGTAATCAGAAACACTGCAATTTAATTTTCTTTTATTGCTATGAGTTCACAAATATAAATGACACCATGATTCCGTAGAAGCAAAATAGGTTTGATGGGATTTCGACACTTTACTTAAAAATAAAGTAAATAATTAATGTAATCAAATAACCAAGATACCAGTATTACAATACCAGACAACAGTGAGCTCTTATCTGAGCTAGTGCTATCCACCTTTCCTGGTGTAACTGGAAAGGGCTAAAGGCCACCAGTGATCCTCACTTCCTAAAAAAAGTGCAGACTAAATAAACATTTAATAGTGTTGTGGAAGGTGTAAGGATTGATTTTAGGATGAAATTGATACTGAGATCTCTATTAGTTATAGAAATGAAGACTTGGCCTCATCTCTAGGGCAACATTTATGTTGTGATGCCTAAAGGGTATACAAGCTCAACAATTATTTTATTATCTTTGTAAACTTAATAAACATAAATTGAAATCATCAAGTTCAACAAAAATGCCTGTAATTACTTTTGAGTTCTGTTAATATGAATGATATTGTTTTAAAATTGAATTAATAGTTTAAATTTAATTTTAATCACATTACTAATGTAGTAAAAAGAATTTGCAACCTTTTTTGAATTGATTGAGCTAATAGAGATCCAGGTTCAAGTAATGCTTAAAACATATAAGGTCAAGGGTACATTCAATTTTGTATTAAAAGTGACCCTCGTCTTTGCTCTCTTTTTGTGTTTGCAATAGAACAATCTGATCACTCTTTCTGAATAAAGTAGGGCTGGGCCATAATTGCTCCCTATTGGATTATCCCTTATTATTATTATACATGAAATGTTAATGAATGTAATATGGATGCAAAATCTGAAGTAAATGAAAAAAAAAAATTGCTTACTGCAGATGTATTACCTAGCAAGGCCAGCTCACGACCTCTCGATATTAAGCTATTACTGGAAGCCACAGATGACGTCATGACGTGAATTCTTCCGCACAGCTAGTTATTCTTAGTTACATTAGAATTGTACATATCATGGATGCATCATGGGAAAGTAGATAGAAGTAAATTATACAGTTACAGATAATCGGGGTCCCATCATTTATTCTTTAATTTTAGCTAGAGACTTACAAACCATATGGTCTTATACATCTTTTTTCCCCCTCTAACTATTCACTGGTAGCTCAAGGGGCTAACCCAGCTACGCTATGGCTGGTAGTGAGCTCACGGGACTCAATCTTAGAGAGTTTCCTGACAATGGTTTTAGCAAGAGCAGTGGGTTGCAGTATCTACCACCCGATCGGAATCGCGACCCACTGAAGTTTTCTTTTTTATTGCTGAGATGGGTGGACGAGCTCACAGCCCACTTAGTGTTAAGTGGTTACTGGAGCCGTAGACATCTACAACGTAAATGCCGCCACCCACCACTTGAGATATGAGTTCCAAGGTCTCAGTATAGTTACAACGGTTGCCCCACCCTTCAAACCGAAACGCTTCACGTCAGAAATAGGCAGGGTGGTAGTACCTACTCGTACGGACTCACAAGAGGTTCTACCACCAGTAACTCGTAAATCTGTCGAGAAACTCAATGGATTGTGTCTATGGCTTACTTAGCTAGTCGAACCAACACAGACAGAACAAAACTAACCCGTCGAGCCTAAAAGCAGTGAGACCGGATCCGAGAGATTCGATAAGACATATCTCGGGCGACGGCGGCGACTTTGCTTTGCCCCGTCGCCTGGGTCGGATATGTCTATGATTAAAACCGTCTCTTCCACACCAATAAAATAGGTGGATTGCTGTATTATATATAAAAGTATTATAATACGATCTAGAAGCTTAACTATATTTTTTTGTTAAAAATTATAGCTTTTAAAGCTTAAATTATTTTTTTAAGCTCGTTTGAAGCTTGAGCTCGTTTCGTTTTTTTTTTTTCGAAATAAAAACTTATCCTATAAATAGCACTGTCAACCGTCCCGCGTATAAAATTATATTTAGCAAGCTATAGCTTATGTTAGCAAATTAGCAAGCGGTCAATACATTTGTCACCCAGATCATTATTAAATTAAGCGCCTTTTGAATATGCTGTTAAGCATGAGTACCCGCTTGAGCACAACCTAATATGGGCTTGGATATCTCAATTTTAATTATTAGTAAACGCACTTTTACAATTTAAAATTGCTCTCGTGTTATTTTTAAATTTAAAGCGCATTACATATTGTGCAGTTTTCATAATATCGTCCGTTATCCTTCGAATGAAAATGTTTAAAAAATAATTGGAGCAAAATTTTGAGTTAAAAACAGTCTTGAGTGTATTGGGTCGGGTAGGTAGGCTCTATCCGGTTTGGATAAGGCGGCAAGTCACGCAGTTCGTTCACCTAGTTTTGTAGTATAAGAGATGGTCACGCCGCGAAAAGTAAATTTTATGTAGTCTATCTAGTCTTTTTTTATATTTCATTAGTATGCGGTATTCTTAGGACTTCGTGTATTTGCTTGTTTCGTTTTGAAGAGTAGAATAGCCTTAATTGAGACTTTGATTTTATTGATGGTAGGACCTCTTGTGAGTCCGCACAGGTAGGTACCACCACCCCGCCTATTTTTGCCGTGAAGCAGTAATCCGTTTCGGTTTGAAGGATGGGGTAGCCGTTGTAACTATACTGAGACCTTAGAACTTATATTTCAAGGTGGGTGGCGCATTTACGATGTAGATGTCTACGGGCTCCAGTAACCACTTAACACCAGGTGGTCTGTGAGCTCGTCTACTCATCAAAGTAATAAAAAATAAAATATTACAAGCGGAGTATCATTTACATTGGTATATGCTGTTCCATATTATGGTATCTATCAGGCTCCGCTGTAACGCTTCATATCAGGTGGGACGTCTGATCGTTCATAAATGTATAGCGATAACAAGAGGACAGGCTTGCAAGTATTTTTTAGATACACTAGATTGTAGTTTAGTAAAAAGTCACGTGTTAATTGTTTTTTTTAAAATCTGTATCTTTTGTATTATACGCATTGTAGAATGAATGCTATTTCGCTGGGTAGCACGTTATGGCAAATAAAAGTTTCGTTTAAAAAAATACATTTCACAATAATTAAATTTAAAACTTTATTTTTAGATCTAACTTCCACCTTTATTGTACTTGATGTTTTAAGTTTTACTGATTGGAAAATAACCTTGCATTACGTATTAGCGTACGAGGGTATAAACAAATCTAATAATATGTAAATTTCGTCATTACAGCTAGCTAGCTAGTAATGAAGTAGCTTTCATTCATAAACTGACCTAGTCTGATGGAAAAAGTAAGAATCTAGCATTACTTTCGACTGAAATGCCAACAAAGAAAAATCGGCGCTAGGGCCACATATAAACTTTGGTTTTATTTGTGGTGGTTTATTTTAGTTTGTGTGATGGTGGGCGTTTTTTTGTTTTCCTTTGCTGATAGCCTTGAAAAGCTATTTCAGATTCACCCTAACGTGTGTAGGTGAGCTCACGGGGCTCAAACCGGAGTGTTGCTAACACTGACCCTAGCAAAAGCAGTGCTTCGCAGAATCTACCACTGGATCGGAAACGCGACCCACTGAGAAGATCCGGCGAGAAACTCAGTGGGCGGTGTCTATGGGTTAATTCGCTTCGACGAACCCATTCGAACCCATCGCTTCGACGAGGACAGTGACCGGTGCTTGGGGTGCCTAAAAGCACCGTTAATGGATCGGGAGGATCCGTAATGACTTGCTTTGGGCGACGTCAACTGTTTACCATTCGGTCTACAGGATCGGGTGTGTAGTTTCCAGCGTTTCGGGTATGTAGTTAGACAAATGGGTTCTCATGTCGTGCCGCCTTCTGGAAATGGCACAATGATGCCGACTGTAGATACTTACTGACAGAGTCGAGCTCCAGGTCATTGTGGAGATCCACGTTTCTCAGGAACCTTGGTGCACCGACGGCTATCCTGCAGAATCGGGATTGAATAACCTGAAGGGATTCAAGTTGGTCCGGGCCGCGTGAGCGAACACTACGCTTGCATACATCATGACGGGTCGTATGCAAGTTTTGTAGTGTCACCTTATTTCGAAGAGACAATTTGCTTCGCTTGGGGGTTTATAAGATTCCATTTCTATAGTGCAACAAGCCGGACTGTTAAAATCGACCCTTGCGAATCCAGTATATAAGATTGAATATTAATAGGTACTTAAGTAAAGTTAATGAGAATTATATTTCGGGCTTATTCTCGTTGATACCTGGTACTGTATATAATAAATTAAACGAACGTGAATTTGCCAACACTATTTACTTGGCGCCAAAAATAGGGTTGTTAGATTATAAAAAAATCACGATTGGCGATGCGGTGTGATCCGAACATATTGTGGAACCGGTTCTAAAGTTTGAAACTCTGAACAGTCAATGAAAGACTTCTGACCGAAAAAAATTCAACGCATATTTAATGAACGAACTAGATGATGTCTATTGTATTAATTCTGAAATTCGTTTATAAAAAGGTTTGTTTAATGTCAACATTATTTCATTTGCTTTAGAAAGTTAATGCATGATATTAAATATTTGATACCCGACCAATATTATGTCCTCATTCGGAAACATAAGAAAAGAAAATCTATACAATCATTTGACGTGTGCTTAGCTTAAATTATCGTCAGACTGCTAACTAGACACTATTTCGCAAAAAGTATTTAGTCAATTGATCCTAAAATATATAACCGCTTATAATTTTAATACTAATTAAACACATTATTTCATTTATTTATTTTGAGACATCCCTAAAATTTTAACTCATGCAATNTTCGGAAACGTAAGAAAAGAAAATCTATACAATCATTTGACGTGTGCTTAGCTTAAATTATCGTCAGACTGCTAACTAGACACTATTTCGCAAAAAGTATTTAGTCAATTGATCCTAAAATATATAACCGCTTATAATTTTAATACTAATTAAACACATTATTTCATTTATTTATTTTGAGACATCCCTAAAATTTTAACTCATGCAATTTAAATTAAATTTACTCTCATCACAGGCGCACTCTTGAAACTGAACGCTCGACCCGATCAATGGGGTTCACTCGCGCATGTACACCTACCTACTTTTAAGAGACATGCCCGACGTTCTTTGATTTCATACATTTGAATTTATGAACCATTGCGCCATATGTCGTAAACATAATTGAGTGAATATCCGTTTTATTTTGAAAACTCGCACCAATTATTTTTTTATTATATTAACTATTAATGGCGCTTTAAAGTGGAAATACTTTTTATAACAAGTTGCTAGAAATCAGACCGTTAGGACCGTTGCCGTTGAGAATGACACTTTCCATTTAATTCTATACAGAAGACAAGCTGCCTATACAGGAGATGGCCGTCTGGATTGTCGATAATCCTATTCTCACGGGTCGATTGGAACGTCTACGGAAGGACTTCGGTTCTCTTTGTATCATATTCCATGGGGAGTGCTCTGAGTAATTGCTTGAGATGATTATTTGTTTTTACGATCTCGCCGCCCGTCACAAGAGCAAGAAAGAGTTCATTCATACTATCTAGAACCACTGCGTTTATCCACAGTGCGTTTCCAGAGATCTTTTCTGTCACATAGCATCCGGCTTTGGAATGAATTCCCCTCTGTGGTTTCGGTTATGTCCCTGGGCGCAACATTCAGGGGCGCTAACAAAAAAACATTCATTGCAAAGTTTTGATGGTTTAAAAAAGTAAACTAATCAATTATGACGTTATTGTTACAGGACAAACTATTTCCTTATGCTGAAGAAAATGTGAAAGATTTTCTTGATGCCCAGTGGGATGAGGAGGATGTCAAAGAAGCAGTGAACGCTTTGAGGAAGCTTGCTATCGAGGATCAGGAGAAGAGTGTTGAAGGACTGGTTACCATTCCCGGAGAGGTAAGATGATTCAATGACTATTAGTTTATTTGCATCCATCATCTATTTGACATGGTTTCACTGTAATAATGACATTGCTGACTGTGTTAGCACAATCAAATGATGCCCGAAGATCTTTCATGATAAAAGCTGGTTGCCGCCATTTCTTTGTGATTGAGAGGTTGTAACCTCAATTACGAAGCAATAACGGGTATTATCCTGTTTAAACCGCATTGCATAATTTTTCGCACAATATCACATGCTCATCGATCAGGAATGAGACATCGAGATTACGCATTTTAAGGTACCCACCTGGGTAGTGGGTACCATGTTATAATTTAGCTGTGGGTTAAGTACAACTTGGTAACGCCTTTACTAGGTAATTCATAGATTGTTATTCTATTTAAAATAAAAGAAAGAAAATTACACAGTAAAAGCATGAGCTGCCCAATTTTCACAATTATTAAATTTAATTTTTTTACTGTATAATATTAATTTTCAATTCAGGATGCTTCTAAAGAGGATCAAATCGAGGGTCTGGTTAAGAATGTCAAATGGCAGATGTCGTCAGACCGTAAAGTTGCCCCCCTGAAGCAACTCCAGGGGCTTATCTGGAAAAAAGGTTATGATAAGGGAGACATCAAGGGACAGTTAGTTGCTCATTTAAAATTTATAATTAATAATTAATACAATCTTAAAACTTACATCAAACATATAATGGACCAAACTTTCTGATGATCTTCTCTTGACTTGTCTGTTTTTTCTTGGTAGAGTTAAAAAACGGTAGACAACCGGTGCTGGTGCTGGTTGTCTACTTTAATTACTTCACTGGTACATGTGGTATTCAGTTGTTGACGGAATATCTTATTTATATAGAAATTTTATTTCACAACGTGAATGTCGCCGACAGCGTTGAAATGTGAAGTCTGTTTTGTTGTCGAATGGTCGTCCCTTCCTTTGAAACCGGAACGCTTGACTGCTTTCCTGCAGACATAGGAATGATGATGGTACCAAACAATCCGCCACAGTGGTCTCATGTTATACTGTGGTGTGATGTTAAAGTCGTTGAAGGGGAGTTGTAAAAATAATGCCATCATAAAAAAATAATCAATCATTGATTCGCTACTGCCAGTGACAGTCAGTGATAGTTTCTTTATTTACTTTACATTACTTACATTATTTGGATGGCTTTATAATAACCAAACAAATTTTCAATACATTATATATATATCAGCACAAATGATGTAATTTCAGCGTGTACGACGATGTGCTACCGGCTCTTGAACAATGGCGTTCAGTAGAGGGTCAGAAGATTTACATTTACTCCTCTGGATCCGTCCAAGCCCAGAAACTTCTTTTTGGTCAGTCATCTGCTGGGGACCTACTTCCTTTCATCGATGGCCATTTCGACACTGCTGTAGGTGCTAAACAGGAAGCTACCAGTTACACTGCTATTGTCGAGAAAATAGGTTGCAAACCTGAGGAAATCTTGTTTTTAACTGATATTGAAAAAGGTAAGTTTTCGTCTTTGGAGAATAGAGTAGATTTACATAGAAATAAATTTTGTGTGCCCTTAATCTTATCCCGCCTCTTTTCTCTGGATAGGGTGAGACTGGTTTTTGTTAGCTATTCAGAATGAGTTTTTTTACAGTATCTTCAAACTATAATATCATAGGTAGTGCATGATTCGTGGTAGGTGTATTTTAATACGCTTTTAATAGCTTCAGACGTATGTATATTTGTAACTTTATCTTTGAAAATGATTTTGACCCCCTTCAAAACGTCGGATTAACTCGAAATTTGGTATACTTATTAAGGACCAAGGACAATTCAATATTAAACAAAGAAAAAAATGAAATTCAACTAAAAAATGATAAATAAATAATAGTTTAAAAAACTAACAAAATACGCTTTTATAGAAAATCCAACTAAAAAATAGAAAACAAATTTTAATAAATTTGAATTTGAAAATAGTGTAAGAAAAAATGTTTTTATTGTAAAAAAAGCGTGTTTTTTAAGTTTTTTTAAACTATTATTTTTAAATTTTATCTGTAGTTACATCGAAGTTGTACCGGATTTCAATAGTTAAAAGTAAAATTAAAATTTGTGCAGAAGCAGAAGCAGCTCGGACTAGCGGAGTGAACGTGGCCCTAGTGAGCCGCGAAGGGAACGCTCCGTTGGCCGAGGGAGCAGCGGCAGCCTACCCTGTACTACACAGCTTCACTCAGCTCACCGTTACTAACAAACGCAAGCCCGACACTCAGGTGCTACGATGACCTTCATATGTACAACCCCAGTAGCGCTTCATGCATGCACTCTGTAGTATAAATATGTAGCCAGACGTTGTGTAAGGTGAGTAGTCTAGTTGGGCAGTGGCATTTTTGTGCTTTTACGCATTCTTTGTAATTCCATTTATGTATGTAATTATCATAAAATGCCTTTGCATTGTTTGCCTTTTAAAATAGCTACTTACTAATATTGCAAGATCAAAAAAATATATGTTCAAATAACAACAAAAATACATAAACATCAATTAAAGCGATATCTAATCTAATAAAATATATTTTTATATTTCATTTCATAATGCTAATTAAATTGTGAGAACTTGTTTGTAATAAACTTGAAACAATAATTTTGGACGGCCATAAAAGTCAAATATTTTTAGTACTTACAAAGTATTCCATTCATAAACACTAATTTAAAATGGAATTATGAAAAAAATACGCGATATAATTGCACTTTATCTACGTGTGCAAAGTTGTCATAGGCATCTATCAAACTGTAGATTTTTTTCTTGTTTATGTAGAATAATAAATAAATAAAATAATATACGTCGTCATTCTATTCATCATTATCATTGCCTTCCATAGTGACAGTAATCAAGACTCACTTTTCCAATGAATTCCATTTATTAAATTTCAAGTGTACAGCGATAACATCAGAGAACTCCGCTCCGTTCGACTGTTCGAGCCAGAATGTTTTCTGCGACAATAGTCACTCGTATTTTAAAATTTCGAGGTAGCTTAGAATTCTCTTGAATACCGTCACAAACAGTTGTTTAAATCCGTAATATTAAGGAAACAGTTAACTAATCTTAGTTAACCAAATAGTACCGTTGCACCGACATATATTATTCTTAAGATTTTCCAAATATTTTTAATTTACATTTTTAAAATAACAAGTTACTATGAACAGTATTTCATGAAAATTTAGTATGGTCTTTGTCCGAAATTCAAAGAGATCAATCTATTGTTGTGATTTATTGCTTGTCACAAATATTACAAGATGTTAACAATTATCAACAATAAATAAGCAATATAGACATCTGATTGTTTTCGTTCACTTGCCTTGATAAATTAATCAAATTATGGCCACAAGTCAATATTGTATAATTTTAGACCCAAATTTGTTTTTGTTTTTTTTTCGCTCTGTCTTATTTGTTAAAAGAAAATATCAATTTTTAAACAAGAATCCTCTAATATGAAAGATATAAAAGATGTATATGAAAATGTGTATTTTAAACAAATAAACTATTTAAAATTAACAGGCTTATTTTTACTATTTTACATTCATTGTCATATCACAACGTTACTGATATAGTCATTTCTTATCACTACTATATCAATCTGTTGTTTTTTCGGTTAATTTTCGAAAACATAACTACAGTGAATATGACTGCAAACCTTTAGTGCTCATAATTCATTTGTAAAGAGAAATATAAATTTGAAAATTTTAATACACTAGTAATTGTAATTTTGTTTTTAAAAATTTGTTGTAGTACTTTGGTCTTATCTAACGATTGTGGTTTATTGAAAGTTTATTGGTTAGGTGTCCATTCAAGTGCAAAAATGTTTTGTTGTGTTAAGTGAAATTTCATTAAATCCAATAGATTTAACAAGATCTATTTTGTGTTTCAGGAAGAAATACCTGCCAAAATACCCAAGACTGATGTTAATGACGATTGTAAAACAAATTCTGAAGAGTTAATAGTAGAAACTACTGCCAAGGATGCTACTGTGGAAAAAGCGGCGGAAGAGCCAGAAAAAATGGAAGTTGAAGAATCTGTTGCAGTACCAGCAAATGACTCGACAAAAACAAAGGGAACAAATGATTGCATAGAAACAATTGTTGAAGAGGTAACAGAAACAGAAATTGCTGAGGCCACAGCTATTGATATAGAACCAGTAGTCATTGAAGAAATAGTGGACAAAGCTGAAGAGAAAACAAAGACTGAAGAAATGGAAGAGGATCCCATTCCAGATGTAAAGTCTCTAGAGCTCCCTATAGAGAAAGTTTGTACAGAAGCTGCATCTGTTCCAGAGAAAACTACACCTGCAACTATTACTGAAATCGAAGAGGTATTAGATGATAAACAAAACTTAACTGAAGTAGCTGATGTCATTGAGGACATTGAACCTATCGTCGAGGAACCGGAAACAGTTGAAGACATTGAAGAACTAAAAAATGTTGGAGAAGTTTTAGATAAGGAATGTGATGAAATTTTATCTAAAGTACAGGATGTTACTAATCTCGACAGCATTCCTGTGAAACCGTTACTTAACTCAATTCCTGAGGAGACAATGGACACGGAAAATATCGATTCTAATAATATTATTGAAAAAATACTTGAGGCAGAAATGGAACTAGGTGTGCAAGATGGTGCGAAAGGAGAGAGTGAAACTGTAGATGGAGCGGCTAGTTCGAAAATCTCGACAGCAGAAAATTGCGAAAATGAACAACTTATTGTGTCAGACCCCAAGAGTAATGAAAAGGATGTTAGTGAAAAAACAGTACCCTTAGAAAATACAGAAAGTAGTCCTATTGAGAAAACTGATGACCGCAAAGCAGAACCGTCTGAAGAACTAGCCATTGAAAGCCAAAATAAAGAAGAAGAAATTAAAATGAAAACAGAGGAGAATATAAAGGAAGAGACTGTTGAAAGAACAGAAGTAGTTGATAACCAGGAACAGAACAAAGTCGAGGAAGACGAACAGTCCGCAGACAATGACAAAAAAATAGGCGAACACAGAAAAGAAATTATCGAAAGTGTGCCACAAATCGAAAAGGAAACAACAAAACTGGATACAAACGAAAGAAGTGCGGCTTCTGAAAGTAAAGAAGTAGAAGAAACGAAAATGGAACAAGAGCTAGTGACAGATAAAAATATACCAGAAGCGACCAATACAAACAATGTTCAAGCAATTTGTGCCAATGAAACAGAAGCTACTGATACGACAGTGGAAAAAGTAGACGAAGTTAAAGTAGAAAGTGATAATGACCCACAAGTTAACGGAAACTCTGCGAATGGTAATGATAAAGTAAACTTAAACGGTGATTCGGCTAAAGATGAGGAATTAAATGCACGACTGTCCGCTGAAAACGGTAAAGAAGTGAATGGTGCCAATGGCGATGTGGCTGAGCAAGTAAATACCGACAAAAAATCAGAGACTGAAATCTCTGAAATTAAAGTAAAGACAGTCGCAGCTGAAGAATCTTGCAATGATCCAATAGAGCAACCGTCGGTAGCATAAGATGACTTTGTGAGTGAATCATAATATTCTTATTATTTTACATAGGGTAAGTTTTTGGCCGTCTATTTCCGTAACATTTCAACGTAGCAACGATTTAGTTACAGTCTTGAGTACAGTGACCACTGATGAGGACAAGCATGAGTAACCAGTATTTTTTTTAAATAATAACAATGTTATTAAATGAATGTTTACCGTTAGTGCTAGTCTTTGAATCTACATCTTGGAAATTGTGATCGATACACTACTAAAAACTTACACTGGGTAAATTGTTTCTCAAAGTTAACGATAAACAGTTATACAGTTGTTAATCCAAGTTCTAGTGTAGAGATTTTAATAAATTTCAATATGTCCAGTAATTATTTCATTATTTCAGTACATAGCGAGAACAGCAGGGCGTCGCAACATTGTTGGTTCACCTTGGAAGAGTGACAAGACTGAGGTTGCTTCCGCGCTAATCGACAACACTTCCTAGTTTATATGTGTATTGAAATTTCAATGTGTGCCGTGGGCAGTGACAGATAGTGTGCACTCACAATTTCCATTCTCTATTTAAAAATTCTTAGTACTATTACCTTGATAATACTCGTAATAATGTCTATCAATCATTTTAGCATGCCTAACATAAGTCTGCATATTTTCATGAGTGTCTGTTAGATAATTTTCTGGCGTGAGCTGGACCTTTGCGCTTTTCTTACTAGTCGGCAGATTACAAGAATTTTGACGAAACTTTTAAATATTTTGATTTGACTAGCACATACTCCTGTGTGCCTCCAGTGTTGATCTTTAATGTTCAGTAGAGTCGTTGTAAATAACATACTCATAATCCATTTATGGAATACGGCAAATGATTACCACTAAAATGAATGTATGCGACTAAAGTGAAATATATCAATCAGTATTTAGGTTACATTTTAAAAAATTAATATCTCATAGAATGGATGTGCGAAAAGTTTGCTGTTTATGGAAAAACTGAATTGTCTAAAATATATTTGATGTCGTTTCTGTTTAGGCAAATTNAATAACATACTCATAATCCATTTATGGAATACGGCAAATGATTACCACTAAAATGAATGTATGCGACTAAAGTGAAATATATCAATCAGTATTTAGGTTACATTTTAAAAAATTAATATCTCATAGAATGGATGTGCGAAAAGTTTGCTGTTTATGGAAAAACTGAATTGTCTAAAATATATTTGATGTCGTTTCTGTTTAGGCAAATTTACTTGTAGAGAGGCCTAAAATGAATTAAGGCGTAGTGCATACGGTCTGTCTCTGCTTCTCGTATTTTGACTTAGGTAAGTTCTTATTCGTAAGTATTAACTGTATTGTGATTTTTAATTATCGTGTATATCTAACAATTCGATTTCATTAATCCCACTGCCAAACGTTCGTATTTTCATTTGCAATTGGTTAGCAGATTTGTTGAAGTAATATTTTTGTCTATACCTTTTAGTTAGATTTGCGGGAATGAATTGAATACAAATTTATGAATATAAAACTGTACTCATATGTAAGTAGAGAATAGTGCATGATGTATTATGAAGGTTTGCGAAACTAGAAATTGCCATGTATACTGTGTGCGAGGGCCGGTGCTACTGTGATATAATTGACTACAAGAAGACTGTTTTATTTATTTCGTGATTGTATCGCAAGGCTGTGCTAGGGTTTATTGAATGCGGGATCTGTATAGATTAGTTTTTATATTAATTTCGGTTATAATTTTTCATTTAAAGGCACCGGTGTTTAAGTATCGCGACTGTCTTGTAAGGAATAATGGATTTAATGAAACGAAAATTGTATTTTTTTTTTGAGACTAGAAAAGGCTTTATCAAATTTTGATGTTTTGGTTTAAGATATTTCCTTATTAGCAGAAAATAGACAATTTTGTGATTCAGTATGAATTTGTGTAACAGGTTGTAGGGTGTGAGTCAGTAGGGGTGAATTCTACCAGCTTGCTTATCTGAGTCACGAATCATACTTTGCATTGTTTCAAAACCTTTATGTCTACGGGCTCTGATTGCCCTACGAAATAAAATACGTTATATTTTGTAACCGCAAATACTGTATACTTATTGCAAACCAATTTGCAATGAAAATACGATTTACCTACTTCTTTAGACTGATTTTTTACTATTGATACACACGTACCCAAAACTCTTGATTCATATTCCGGGGCGGTTCCTGTGGGTGTATCAACATTTTTGTAATGTTTATTATTTAGCTTATATAGTAATACTTCCATAATTATTTTATTACCTGTATTTTTCTATATTGATAACTGATGTTAGTGTCATGTCAGTCATTTTCGGAGAAGGAGTACGAGAGTTGTATAATTAATTAAGAGAAGCATTTAAAAAATAAGTTCATACCTTTTTTATTGTAATAATGAACGAGAAATCTCAAAACTAATTGAAATGTATTTAGTTTTTACTGTCAAAACTAATGACATTAAATATAATGGACGTAGAAATATTTTTTTCGATTATTTTTTTCCTCTTTAAATCTTCACCTTTCAAACTGTTATGTTATTTACTTTAAGTAATAAAAGAACACATTCCATTACGATAAAAACGAGAGGACATCAGCCTCCAACACATCGTTCTGTCTCGAGGATGAAGAGCCCATATCCTAAAAGCTTAACGTTTATATGAAAGGAAGATTTTTTATTACGATAACTAATGTAATACTATCGAATACCCCTACTTCATCTTAACTACTACAAGCAAATACAACAGTAATGTGGGATAGCGTGCGTGCGGGCTACAGTTGCGTGCCTACGTCAGCCGTGAAATTTTGCTGTTATCATGTGGATATTTAACTAGACGGTTTCGCGGGGAATACCCCGAATTATCGATACTTTGGCCATATTTCGACTACAGTCGACGAATTATAAACTCAGACTTCGAGTCATAAATCATATTTATCTGTCTGTCTCGCTACGACTTACAGGTTTTATGGAGAGGTGTAGTGATGTGCGTAAGAATTGTAGCATATCGATAACCGGATAGGTACGATCGATATGATAAATTATGTTAAGTATTCATAAGAATAATTTTTCGTTATCTGAAAATAAAAGTTTTTAATTTGTAAGATAAAATGTTTGTTTTGACGTAATCTTAGAGAAACTATAAGATCGTAATGTGGCCTTCAAAAGGGCCGTTTTTTTAAATCTTTTCTAGGGATATTTCTTAGTTCTTCAAAAATCTTCATCCGTATCTTGCCCATCTGTGTAATCGACCCTGAATCGTATCTAAGTATCGATAACGGGTTGCATTGCGTGCAAATTCCTACTGTCAGTGACATTTATTGCCCGACGACTCTGTTTAAAATGTGTCCACTAGAACTTAGTATAGCTACAATTACACCACATAACTCCGATATCGAAGATTGCACTAGTAAGTTAGCGTTGTTCGTGCTGAGATTACTTTTCAACTGTATCCCGCTCTGAGTCTTCATTGATTCGAGAGTGCTTGAATGCTCCGTCACTGCCATTTTATTTTTCCCCTACCTACGTTGATAGCCTTGAGAGGCTATTTCAGCTTCTCCTTGACGTGTAAGTAGCTCTGAACGGGAGTATTGCTAACACTGGCCCTAGCAAGAGCAGTGCTTCGCAGAATATACCACCGGATCGGAAACGCGACCCACTGAGAAGATCCAGCGAGAAACTCAGTGGGCGTCTGCAATAAGAAGTACACGTAGAGCTACCACGTTTGATGTGTGGCTCCATGGATTATAAGGACGAGCAGTAGTCTACATTGATGACACAGTGAGACTGCAGTTATCGAAGAAAGTAAGGTCTTCAGAGTGCCAGGTTTTGCTCGATAGATTGATGGTTCGAATATTGTTGGTATGATTAAGGTCTTGCGTTGTAGGTAGAAGAATCTAAAAATAATTAGTGCTGCATCCTATGCTAATTTTCTGAACTAGTCAGTTTTCTTTCCTTTCTCGCGCCGTTTCCTCACTGCTGAGGGTCTTGACCATCATGTTTCAACAGGAGCTTAGTCAAGGCAGTTTTAGATGACCAGAAAAGACTTAATCAAATGCCTGTAGACGTAACTAATTTTTTGACCGAGTGCTTGCAGCCCATCAGCTAAGCTAACAAACCATTGATAAGCTTGGGTTCCAATTTCAGTTTTGAATGGCGTTAATTGGTGCTTACTTTGGTTGGATATCAGAAATATTTTATTATTATTATAATTGTGAAAAATCTTATAAAATAGATTTTCCAGTGACAAGTTGATACGTGTGCGTTTTTGTACTTCTACTAAAATTAGGTACCGCCAAAATACACAGTTGAGTATTTATTCTCTACGAATAATTCAATTTGAAGTCGTCGTGGCCTAATGGATAAGACGTCCGGTGCGTTCGTGTTGATCGATGCACCGGTGTTTGAATCTCAGGCGGGTACCAATTTTTCTAATGAAATACGTACTCAACAAATGTTCACGATTGGTTTCCAAGGTGAAGGAATAACATCGTGTAATAAAAATGAAACCCGCAAAATTATAATTTGCGTAATTACTGGTGGTAGGACCTCTTGTGAGTCCACGCGGGTGGGTACCACCACCCCGCCTATTTCTGCCGTGAAGCAGTAATGCGTTTCGGTTTGAAGGGTGGGGCAGCCGTTGTAACTATACTTGAGACCTTAGAACTTATATCTCAAGGTGGGTGGCGCATTTACGTTGTGTATGTCTATGGACTCCAGTAACCACTTAACACCAGGTGGGCTGTGAGCTCGTCCACCCATCGAAGCAATAAAAAAAAATAAAAAAATGTACGAAAACAATGCGTATAAAACATAGTTTTAAATAAAATGATTCACAGTAAAAGTAACAGAAGGTCAACAGTAAATTGAATTCGGCACAAGCGGGTAGTTGTATCGAGTATTGAGTGAGGTGATGTGGAGGTTATGAATACAAAAGGTATAGAATGCGCAGCATTGCGGTCGTGAAACGGAACGCTACGGACACGAACCGGCGCGCGGTGACTGCAGGGTGTCTATTCTGTAATATCACTTTATTCGACTTTTCGGATTTTTAACGTTATTGTTTGAATTAAAATCGTAGCAGCTGGTTCTATGTTTTTCAGTACTATAGGATTAGGCACGTTATTTTCCTTTGTAATAGTAGCGGTCTTTACACACTGTGAGCCCACAAGGAAAATCACTACCGTCGTGTTTAAATCTGCCGTGAAGGATTGGCGTTCCGGCTGATGTAATTAATACTCGCACATTTGAAAATTAGACTTTAGACTTAATATGTCTCAAGTTAGGGGGCAGCATTGACTTTAAGATGTCAATGTATTTGGATGAGAAAAGCAGCAGTTTGTTAATCTAGAGCAATAAAAATATGTCATTTGGCAACGTTGTTTTTCTTATACGAGTAATGATATGTAATAAGTCTATGAATAAATAATCTAATTAGCAAAGATATGTTAGACTATATTGTTCAACTGTTCGACACTTGATATATTGTTTAAGTCATCAATGCATAATGCCGTTGAAACCGTTATCTCGTTCAGAATTGAATATGAGGTTGAGCAAAAAATAAACTCGTAATATTCATGTATTTATTACAAATAATCTCGAATCTTCAGTACCATTTCATAATCGATATAATGTCTATAGGTACCGATTATAAGTACCGGACGCGGGTTGACGTCACGGATTCTTGTGTATGCGCAGTTCGCTGCCTGTGAATCACGCGACGATGTGTCACCCACCACTCACCGCCGACGCCGACGCTTGTTTTCGACGCTCTTTACATCCATTGCATTGGAGATACTTGCCACTTCTGGGAACATGTTCTGTTTGGAAGTTTGTTGTCCACTGCGAGCTCATGATACTTGTTCGGTATATTGGTCAGCGATAAAAGAAATATAAGATATTAATGCACAAAATCACTGATTTTCTATCTCTTTCTTTTATCAGGTGAGAGAGATGGCACAAGCATTAAGGGTTTTTGGTGCCACCAATTTAAGAATCCCTAATTCTAT